GGGGGGGTGAGAGCTTGCCTCTTTAAAGCGAATTCTTGTAAGGAAAATAAAATTTCTCAACATCCTATTTACTTGTGGGTACCTCACTTCCTGTGCAATTGTAAAAAAAGCATCTATCTCTGTTTTCTCGTTCTCGGGGCACTGCTTATAGTTATAATCAGGGCCTACAATAATTTTTGCTCATTCTCGATTTGTGGCCCTTCATAATTTTGAAAATCGCACTGCTTAAAGCTCAGTTGACCAATAATAATTTAGCAAAGGTCCTTTTAAAGCTATTCATTAGTCGAAAACTAAATGTAATCACGCTTTTGATAAGAGAGTTTTCACTCATTCAAATATTTGGAAAATATACTATTTTAGAAGATGGCAAATATTATCACGAGTGCAGCGGATCGTTTTAACCAACTTATTGATAAGATTGCGGTTAAATACCAAAACTACCCAGCTCTAAATGGTAAATTTATTACTCCATTTGGTTTATTTTCTTCTTTTCTGTTAGTTCCGTATTCTTTTGAAGAAACTATTAGAATTAGCAATGTAGTGGATTGGATTCAATTAAATCGCTACATTTGGGAACCGAATGGACCAAATAAATGGTACATTATCGGCCTCTTTTGTACTTATATCCACCACTTCCTTTACATTACGGCAAAAGGTTCAGTGCCCGATCCTTTCCTACTGGACTTTTGCTCCTTGAATCAAAATGAAACGCAATTTTTCAACTATGGGCCAGATATACGTGTATTTCAATTTCTTGGCTGGATGCTATTCGTAACTCATTTCATTCCAATGGCTATTTCAAAGCAATGGATTTCTCCATCTGAGATAAGTCGAGAGGTGCTAGAACAATTTATGCCCTATATTATTAAGCTGAGAGAGTTGGAAAGTAGACCTACATGCGCAGCGTTCTATAGATGTCACCAACCTTGGGATGAATTTTACCTTGTCATTGCAGGAATTAGCCTCTAATTGTATTCATTTTGTTTTAATGTAATCTTTTGGTGCATATTTTTTTCTATTTTGTTTTGTTTTCTTCAATATTTCCATGATACCCTGGGAAACGTATACTCATACGACAAAAAAGTCCATTAATCGGCAGTTGACTTCTCACTTCAAACTACCATGTATGTCATATGTACTCTCCCTACCTTTTCTCTGTCTTTGTGTCTGCCTGTCTCTTTTGCACCTATGAATCAATCGTCTGCTCCCTCTCTCATTTTTCTCTCACTTTGATGTTCCTCCCCCTTGAAACCCGAAGTCAACTAAATGGTTAATGATACTTTACACAATGCCTTCCATTCGATATTAATTAATAAATGAATGTTCTATTGATTAGTGAAACAAAATCTTGGCGTAAAACCACCAAGAGATGCCAATGCAACGATATGTGGATATCAAGTGCAGCTTACACCCTCCCCAACCCCCCCCCCCCCCCCCAGGAATCACAATAATCATTTAGCAATAGAAAAAACGAGGATGTAATATTTTTTTTTGTACATTATTGCGAATTCTTTAAAAGTGCATTTTAGAGGTTTTGTCGCTTAAAATTGTTTGAATGAGCCCCTTTGAGCTCCACTCAATTTTAAATAACAGTTTGTGCACTATTTGCAATAAGTATTCACGAGTATTGATTAAAAATGATATGCTTATTTATATGAACAGATTTATTGGAATAATTAAGCTCGGATGATTTGAGGTTTTAGAAGTAAATTTCATCATTTCGTATTCAAATTCAAAAACGTTGATTAATGGTATTCGATGACTCATTAAATTTAAGAGTCCTCAACCAAGAAGGATTCCTGATTTATTGAGTTTGGTGGTGAAGATTTTACTACGGTAGTAAACTCATTATTCCAAATATATATATATATATATATATATATATATATATATATTTATATATAAAGTGGATATTTTAAGGTATTTCGTGAAAAATATTACCCTCCTCCTAGCAGACATTATTTTACTTTCTGCCATTTAAATCATATTGCGTAGCTTAGAAGTGAAGAATAGAAATCAAACTGAGGTCATCTCTTCGTATGTTGCCAATGTAAGTGATAATGGACCACTTTCGTCTCCTGATGCTTGTCGATGACAAGGCTGTACCTCCAAGAGGCTCGATGTCTAGAACTATTTGGCATAAATCTTAATACGAGTTGCAATAACGCTATAACGTTAGTCGAGTGAGTGAATTGGGAGGAAACGGAAATGTGCTTTGGGTCAATTAATTGTTGCCTCTTGAAAAGTGCCACAAAAGGGGTACTATAAAATCTGTTATTAATCAAAGTAATGCAACAAAAGCTAATTCAGTAACTCATATAAGTATATACATTATATAAATGTGTGGAGGTAAATAGTAACAATGAAGATTTTGCGGAACTTAGATCTCATATATTTCACAATTTAATAATGTTATAAATCCTGAATACCTGTGGCAATAACAGTAATAATAATAAAGGGAATTATCGTTTTTTGCCAACTTTTACATTGCAACAATTTTGAGTTTACTATTTTATGGCAATGAAATTTGATTGTTAGTATTCTGTTTCATTAAATTTTGAAGGAAGGTAAGTGCTTGATATCCAGCCAATGCGCATTGGCTGACATGACTAACAATGACGTAGGTATTGCACAACTTTGATGCTCCAATAAAACGAAATAAGACTTCTTCTTTTCATTATTCCTTAGAAAATTCATTTGACTTGCATTTCTTCTCTTGCTTATAACTGAAACGCTATATGATTAGTTGAAATTTGGGCACATAATATGGAATGCTTACAGAGGGATACCAATAAATTTGATTGAAAAACTGATCACTAAAGAACAGGATATCTGCTTCACTCATTTCAAAACCAATTTTTCGTCTCCTAGAATAGCAAAATTTGTTGCAAAGTTCAGCTTAACTTTCAGTCTTACTTTAAAAACTACTGGTCACTTCGTAGTATGAAGGCAATTCTTACTAAAATAAGTATAAGAGGACTACTGTTTTGAAATATTTCTAATACATAAACCATTGGCAACTTAATACTTGTTGATTTGTTGCGGTTGCCAGTCAAGGATTTCATCACAAGAAAGAAGAAGAAGGAGAAGAAGAAGATAGATCAAATAAACACGAAGAAGTAAAATAAGGCGGTGTTGATGAAGGAGGAGGAGGAGGAGGAGGAGGAGGAGGAGGCGGCGGCGGATTAGAGAAGTGGAGAATAGGATTTCGCACTCGAAAGCAAAAAACTGCCCTTTTGCAAAGCAGGTAATAAGGATGACATTAAACACACCCTAGGAAATCATCTGTGTCGGCAGGAGGAGAGCAATAAGAGGCAGAATTAAAACCGTGATTTCAATAAAGGCAGGAGGGGAGTAGATAAGGGGGGGTTCGGAAAGAACGCTTTTTAGGTAGCATGCACAAGAAGAGGTGCGCTCTTTCTAACCACACTTATCCACTCTCCTCCAAACACATTGACAGTTAAGTTATATATTGTGGGCATAGGCACCGAAATATGAGTCTGGGCAAGGAACAAGGTCAAAGGATAAGGAGAGAAAAACATCATGTGCACCATGGAAGTGATCTACATAATGCTAGTGGCACGGTTACCACGAGAGATGGAATTGATTTCTCTCATAACAGAGACAGCACGTGATCCGGGACCACCGATAGTCCTCTTAATTGTGATGGTTCTCTCTGCCATATCAGCACGGTGCTCAGCCTCTTCAATTTGTTGTTGAGCTTTGCGGTATTTGCTCATTGTCAGCTGCGAAACCTCTTCTTGCTCCTCCAATTGGCGTTTGTAGGCTTTCATCTTGATTTGGGTCTTGTCTAGCAAGTCCTGCAGCTCCAAAATCATGCGCTTATCATCCTCATTCTGGGCCTGAAGTTCCTTGAATTGACGTTCGTATTTGCGGGCACTAGCGAAGGCCTCCTTGGCGCGTCTAATTTCTCCATCCAATTCCGCCTCTAGCTCTCTCACACGGTTCTAAATTCATATATTAACAATTTCAGTTATTTTCCTATTCAATTTAAATAAAGAATGTCACCACATAATCTGTTACCTTATTCCACTTGAAAGAGGTTAAAAGACTATGCCCAATGCAAGACAACATTAGTCTATACAAATAGCAAGACAAACTATCAACTACCTTAGAAATAGCCCTTACACTAACGCAAACCTACTTCTTAAAGGAATTACACCATAACTCCTTCCAGGTGTGAAACTCGTTTTCTACCAACAACTTCTATTAGCCGAACATAACTAGATACTTGACTCGTTACGTTTTCCCAGTTGAATTATCGAGAAGTGTAGGTGGTAGGAGCTACTCACAACTTTAAATATAAATATAAATATAAATATAAATATATATATGTATATATTACTTTCAAGATTGAAATTGTCGTACTTTATGCTCTTTCTCATCGAGACTTCGTGACTCCTTGTTTAAACCAATCAAATGGGAAATAAATAAAATGTGCGTTAGGCAATATTTAGAAATGATTGGCACAATGGAAAAGTCGTTTTAATTAATTGAGGTTTGGAAGAACAGAGATGACTTTTCCCCAACAGCATTAAACAGCTAATCAATAATGAGTGAAACATTTATCCAAATTCTGGTAGTAAGACATCTATATTTAAAGCACATGGGGAAAATTCAAATGGCTATCGTTTGAAACAATTCTATTAGCGAATCGTTGAACTAACCTGCAGTTTTTGAACCATGCGGCGACCCTCACGAGTGGCAAAAGCCTCAGCCTCCTCCAACTTGACAGTAATCTCACGGATCTCAATCTCGAGCTGTTTGCGAAGAGTTTCAGCACGCTTGTAGTTCTCCTGTTCTTGACGCAATTCATCAGCCAGGCGAAGAACTTCGGCATTCAAGCGATCAGCACGGTCCTCAGCAGCCTATAAAACAAAATTTATGAAATATATTTGAAACCAAAGACGTCTATTTAGCATTTACACCGATACGGACCTTGCGAGCATTGACAGCCTCGTCGAGATCACCCTGCATGACACTAATGTCTCCCTCAAGACGACGCTTATCATTTGTGAGTGTATTGACAGTCATGGTCAACTCGGAGATACGAGTGGTGGCATCATTGAGCTCGGATTCAGCATTCTTGCGAGCACGGTCGCTAAGCTCAAGTTGGCTACGAATCTCTTCCAGCTCTGAGGTAAGAGCAATGCGCTTGCGTTCGCTGACTTGGAGATTGCTTTCAGCGGCCTCACGGGAACGACGTTCATCTTCAAGAGAGACGGTGAGCTCTTGGACGCGTTGGGCAAGGTTCTTGTTCTCACGATTGAGGTTAGCATTAGCTTTGTTAGCAACATCGAGTTGGATTTCCAATTCATTGATGGTAGCCTCGTACTTCTTCTTAAGTCGTGAAATATCTGACTTAAATCTGACCTCCATCTCAGAAATGGTGGTGGTCAGCTCCTCAATAGTGCGAGTGGTGCTCTTTCTGCAAAGTAGGATTCGAAATTAAAACTGAATTACTACTTAAAAGTAAAAAGTAAGAAAATAATTTACCTAAGGTTCTCCAATTCGTCATCCTTTTCGCGGAGACGTTGTTCCATCTCAGACTTGAGGTGATTGAGAGCATTCTGAGAGGCGACATATTTAACCTCTAATTCTTTCAAGGCTTCTTCAGCGTCATGAAGAGCAGAAGCAAGGTTATCGCGCTCAGCTTCAAGTTGGCTACGAAGGGCTTCTAGGTCAGTGAGACGGCGGTTGGCATCACGAAGAGCAGATTTAGTCTCTTTGAGTTGATCTAAAGTACAATTATAGATTAATTATTACAGCGCAATGTCTATTTAACACAATCTTATGGATGCAACCCACCTCCAAGTTGGCGGTTTTCACGATCAAGATTACTAATCTTATCAGAGAGATCATTGACCTGGCTCTTAAGACGCATGTTTTCTCCCTCCAAGTTGCTATTAGCGGTATGGAGGTTATTGATCTCAATGGTCATTTCATCAACACGGCGTTGAAGTTCAGCGGCGAGATTCTCGGCCTGTTTGGCACGGTGATTCAAATCGGCATTATCGGCAGCCAAGGCTTCATTCTCAACCTGCAAGTCCTTGATCTCGATTGTGAGCTTGGTCTTGATCTTCTCCAAGTTGTTGGCGCGGGAGCGCTCATGTTCCGCCATGTCTTCCAGTTCAACAATGCGGGCAGTCAATTTGCGCCTATAATATCAATCTTACAATAGTCATTTCGTGTGTGGTTAACTGGTTAGAACGGAGAAATGAGACGTACTTAAGTTCTTCAAACTCTTCCGTCTTGGCCATCAGCTCTCTCTCCAAACGTGTCTTAAGAGCGGCCATATCGGCGTTGAATTTGGCGACCTGGTTGCGAAGATTTCCAGCTTCCTCAGCCTCCTCTTCATAGCGAGCTTGCAAGTTGTCATAATCCATTTGGAGGCTTGACAATTGAGTCTGCAGATTCAGACGAGTCTATAAAAGAAGGCGCAAGACACATTCAGTCAGCAGTCATCAAAGTGGTGTCTTAGTGTCTTCTCCACAATACAACTTACACGACCATCCTCGTCCATGGCACGCTTGAGATCATCAACTTGGCTCTCAAGTGATGCTTTAGCCTTTGAAAAATTAAGGATTTGAGCTTCGTACTCCTGGTTCACACGAACGAGCTCAAAGTTCTCAGCAGATAGACGCTGTTTGACAGAGTTGGCATCGGCCATCTGGCGTTGAAGATCATCAGTGAGAGCCTTCAAGCGGCTCAGTTGATTATCCAAACCCTCAAGTTTACTCTCAGCAGATGCCTAGTTTAAAATCAAGTCAACTGGTATATTTTCGACAAATTGAGAGAGCTCAAATCAGGTGGACAATAGAAATTACCTTAGCTTTAAGGGCGCCATCAAGTTGGCCGAGAACGTTGTCGATTTCGAGCATGAGTTGACTCTTGTCCTTCTCAGCCCTTAAATAGAGATAAAGACAGATCGGATTAATGCTAGCCCATTTACTGATATACTAGGCAAAGGCCCATCACGCTGCATTAAGATAAATCGGAGTATCTAATTCTAATAATTTCGTTCCCAACAGCTCTCTACAGGATACATTATTCCAAATGATGGACGGAAAATCTCCATCTGCAATCGATTTATTTACCATACAGTAGAATAATACGCATCATTTACCGTTCATAACGATTGAGTCACCACATTAGAAGTGACGAAAGAGTATTCTTGTTTGAGGACTAAGTCAATCCAGTTTAGAAACAAACCATTCGGTTAGTGATTATGGGCAATTACTTTTTCCAAAACAGTAACAATTGTACAAATTAATCATCACCGTAACACCACCTCTAATAACACTATTCTGAGTAGTTTAACTTACTTTCCCTTTTGTTTCTGGAGATTCTCAACTTCGCTAGAGATCTCAGAGATCATGGTATTGTGCTTGCGACGAAGAGTGACCTCAGCATTCTCGAAAGCAGTGTTGGCGTTCTCCAGATCCTTGCGGAGTTTTGCAATCTCCATGTCCTTACGACGAATAGCGTCATTCTAGAATGTTAAAATTTAAAAACATTAGAAAATTTTTTTCATTCCGTCCATTGTGCATTGTGTACTTCATGATGTTCTGTGTGATGGTGCACATATAGAAAAAAGAGTAATAGAAAAGAGGAAGCAGTGGGAATGAAGTCGGACAGCTGGAGGTGGTCAATCCTTTTGTGTCAGCCGTAAAATCAATCTTCCTACTCAAGTTAACATCTTCATTTCCCAAGCTGATTTTGGAATCACTCTCCAACAATCACCAAGGGTAGAGAGCGGTATTATGGAGCCTCACTCGTGAGATACTCTAACTCCGCCGCTCACAATAGTAGCATTGATCAAGGAATGTCAATGGACATCCCACTCATGAGGTGTATGTCATGACGCCGCTTATCGAAATGACTAGTCTACATTAATTGATCATTAGGTAATTTTTCACCGACCGGTCGTCTTGCTAAGTCGTATATTTTTTAAACTTGAAAAACGACACCTTCTGAATGCCTTAGCGGTCAACAATTATAAATCAGACATAAGTTTCAAAAGCCAATTCCGGCAATCCAGATCTTTTAAAAATATCATTTTGCATAATATAAATAATGACAATCAACGGGTTCTCCCTCATTTCATTTAATTAACACGCGACGATTATTGGTAAATCAATTCTATTGGAGCAAGGTTTTCATTGGCTAATTAGAACATAGACGTACACTTTGCTGTCTTACTAATTTTAAAGGTTAACTTGCCAAATGCATAACCCCTATTAATGGTAAGCTAGGAAAGGCGAAATAATTTTCCCGATTCAATCAAATATAGAATAAAGAGGAGAAATCAACAAGTAATCTTGGGTTCGTTCAGCAACTGATGGCAGTTTAATTACTTAAAACAATCAGTTTTGCAGGCTGGAATCATTGAATCTTCTAACTTATTTACTTCCAGGGCTCATGAATGACTACTTGCTATTGTTAACATGCAACAGAAGTGTTTAAGTCAACTTCATAAATAGTTGTTTTAATTTATCAAAGTTTTGATTTGAGACATTACTACGTTTTAAAATTTTTGTAGGTGAAGATAATTTTCCGTTTTTAAGACTGGCAAACTTACGACTTGAGACGATGATCCGCTCATTTCATCAAGGCGATCGGCCATAGTTTCTATTTGAATGCTCAACTCATTGGCATTGCGTTCAGCCTGCAATTAACAAATATAATCAATAGATTTACTAAATGCGCAAGTTCGATAAAGCGTTGCATTGTTTCATTTGATAAAAGATTATGTTGATAAGACAAGATTGGTGCGATCGAAATCCCTGTTCAATCTTTTTCTCAAACAATTTGAGCACAAAGGACATGAACTACCACACCAACATCGATTTGCACAATTTTGACCTCTGACGCTCTGCAAGTTAAGAGTCGGATTCTGGAAGGGTTCAGCCTTTTAGTTAAAGACAGGCAATCTTCTGCACTTCAATTTTATTGTCCTCTTTTGCATCGGCTATTTTAGTTAGTTAGTCCTCTATAAGTAGAAATCATAAATTATTAGAATTTATTATGACAGTAGCAATCAAATCGGATCAGAAGTGGGTCCTCTCACCGGCAAATGATGAACACAGGTCAATAAAAGTCCATTCTGGATCCTTTAAAACTGGTTTAACTAGATACTTTATTCAATCAAAACTTCTTTGTTGACATATATTTAGTCTATTTATTAAATAAATTAATCAATTAATTTGGTTGACTATCCACCAATTAGAACATCTAGATTAAGGACGACAGTGTAGTTAAACATAACCCAAGAAAGATACCTGCATTCACTCTAGGATAAACAGCCACCACAAGGACTTGATATATGTCTGCTAATTGTTTAACAACTAGTAAAAACAGTAACTAACAATAAACGATGATGAAATTAGAAATAAATAATTGTAAATGTTTTTTTCAATAAACATACAAGAAAATTAATATCTTACCCTGACACGCGCATCCCTTTCAAGGTCAAGTAGGTCCTCGAGCTCACGTACGCGTCCCTAAAAGAAAACAGGAATATTTAAAATTAAGGGTGCTAATTACTAGCTTTTCTGCGCTTGAATATATTGATTTCCAATCAATCTTAATGCGATAATTTATTAATAATGTAATGATAGAATTTTGAAATAATAATGAAACGTTAAAAGCAGTTAAGGCTTGAATTAAATCACATTTCCATTTCCAATAAGAGCATAAATACTAGTAGAAGAGGGAGGAGAAATATCGATTTGAAGATTACCTCAAGTCGGGCGGTGCTCGGTGATGTTCCGCGAATAATAGTACGACTGAGCTTGATGTGTGATTCAGACATTTCTTCGTCTCTTATAGGTCCCGTTTTGTTGGTTAATAAGCGCAAAGGCGTGACAAATTCTCAGCTGTATCAAGCGAAAATGAAAACAAATGAGCCTAATGTCTCAGCTGTGAATGCGAACACAGATGGATACAAGTCCTTCTTGGCAGTAGTAAACAAGTATTTTCAATGCAGAACGAAAGAAACGGTTTGATTCAATGAAGTGAGAATACAAACCGTTGATCTAGAATCAAAAGTTGGAGAGAGAGTCCTGTTAGGTGTGTTCAAATTGAACTGTGTATGCACGTCTGTACGTTTGCCCAAAGGCGAACAATCTGCCCTTCAGGTCGTCCAATACCAGTGTTTATCAGAAATCCCCTTTTCACTCTCATTGGTCAGATGCTCTGAAACATAGGCGGTTCTTCTACTGATCAATAAAACCGTATACGCTATAGCACTTCCTAACGCGGGCACATTCGCAAACCTGCACGCGTAACACGGAGGCGCAATCGATGCCTGGCTCATTCCTCATTGGCCACTCAGCGTGCCGAAGCACACATAGACCCGAATGTACACACACGCGTTCACGAACACGCATAACCAGTAATATTTACAATTTTAAGATGGAATTCCACAGCATCCTCCATAAATGCCAATTTCGGGAAAGCCAACACATATATGCATTGACCAAAAATAACGGTCAACCTCAGAAGTATTCGAAGTAAAGTATAAGTTGGTTCAGAAATAATTCAGGCCATTACAAATTCAACTAAACCGTTTCAGACGCTTGAAATCTTTTTAAATAATTTTTGGCGTAGATATCGATTTAAAACTGGCATAAAGCTATTAGCTGACACAGTTACACTATCGCAAAATTGGATCACTGTTCTTGATGCACTAATAAAGTTCACTAAGTGTTCCAATATATTTAATATAATTAGTAGTTATCGAATGCTTGGTCTCCCTTTATGCTTTTGGTGATTCAGCCTCTGGGTGATAAATACGATAACGCTTTCCATCAATTGGTTAATTACGATTGGAGGTGGGGGGGGGGGGGGGGGGAAGTCATTTCCATTATCTAGATATTCAATTTATTTTAAATAAATAGAAGAATAACCAATAATTAATTCAAATAATTATAAATGTGCTTAAAAAGTGGAAAGATTCTTTCTTGGAAACTGCGATACCATAGGTAGAAAATTTGGTTATTCATTTTATATTTTGTTGGATGGAAGGCAGTCGAAATACAGCAAATATACAATAAATAAATAAATGAAAAATTTGATCAAATTTGTAAATAAACTTTCACTGCGATAAAAGATTTATATGAACTTATATGCTTTTGTTCCTATTATAATAGCATATTATGATCTTGGCATCTGGATAATTACTGGAACGGGAATTAACGAGAAGGAAAGTCATCTTCACATAAAAAATTATGAAAGTAGAAGTATCTTGAAGTCACTGTACATCGGAGTCATCAGAGCTATTTACAAATAACTGTTACAATAGTAAAGTAGATTTACACTGCAGTGGCTTTGAGATTCGTATCGATTTTTACTTCGTCTTCTAGTTTGGTGGGTGTCTCACGCTCAAACGTCAAATTTTTTACTGCTTTTCCGATGTGAGCTAATCTTTGTAATTTTAAGCTACAAAATTAAATCAAATTTTGGCTCAACATTAAACGGCTGTACCCATTTTCATTCATATCCAATCCAAATACTTATCAAGCTGAATCGATCGCCATTTCGAAATGCTACAATGGAATTCGTAGATTAGCATGAGAATAAATTAAGGGGTCTCATATTAATGGTCAAAATTGAAAGCCAATGTCTCAGGACGAAATGCTCGATTTGAAGTCCATATTTGCACATTGCTATAAATTTAATTATTAATAAAGATGGGTGTGAAGAGGAAGTCACTTCCTAATTTGAAATAAAACATTTTCTTGCTAGCTTTTGATAGCCATGAATAGGGGTGTGCGATAGACTTACCTCCACGTGGTGCACCCTGGGCAAAGTATACTCATATGGCAAAAAGTCCATTAAATGGCAGTTGACTTCTGACTTCAAACTACCATCACCTCACTGTATGTCAAGTTTGACTACTTCAACAGTACTCACCTTACCTTTTCTCTGCCTTTATGCCTGTCTCTTTTGCGTCTTTGAAATACTCTTCTTTCACCCCTTTCGACTTTTGGTCACTTTGATATTCCTCCCCCTTTGTGAAGCCTGAAGTCAGCTAAAGGGCTAATGGAAATTATCGAAACGCCTGCTATTTGACATAAATAAACAAACTTAAGGAATGGATGTTCTAAGGCTCATTTTGAATAAAAAATCAAATCAATACTAATAGTTTAGGAACATTCTCAAAACACCACCTAGCACTCTCCATTAATTACAATTGAGATTTTGATCAACTTGTTTTAAATTTTATTATAAATCAAAATATTTTTTATTCCGCCATGTTTGAATGGATACACTGAAGGACAAAAGTTTAGGAACATCTTGCTATCTTAAGTATTTGAGAATAATAGCGAAATATATTTCACCCTATAAAAAATTTAATCAAACCAAAAGAATATATTCACTGTTCTAATAACGTAATTATTTGATTGATGTTAGTCGCCACAGCTAAAATATTAAATTCTTAAAAATATATTATCATGAAAGAAAAAACCTTTTTATTTTAATTATTATTATTATTATTACATAATTTTTCAACTGAAACCCCTAAAAGGCATTAATTAATGAGAAGATCTGTCTTCGTCAATTTTTTTCAAATGAGTTCTACTGTTATTTTTATAAATTATTGGCTTTAAAACAAACCACATTTCTATGGATACCAAAATGGAAAACAGGCAAAGAATAAGGGCGATCCTACGAGGTCGATCATTAAGGTCATAACATTTTTCAATAAACGGGCAGTATTTCTGGAACGCCCACAGTGCAGTAGATATTGCCCTATGTGTCAATGATTGTATTCTTACGTATTCATGTGGGGTTTCTTGCAGAAGGGTTAATTAAGCATACAATTCGGTAACGAAGTATCCCCTTGGCCGATTGAATTGTGACTAATAATTGTATTTTCCTCGGTTTGTAATCGATTTAAACGGTATTTTTTGGCAAATATCGATAGCCTGATAACTGCTATTTAGAAATGAATGGCTATTTTTTTACTGGCATTGCTACGACAGAAGTGATTTGTTAGTTATCGTTAAGGCGGATTGGCAATAGCCTCTCAGTATACAGGGCATGGAAAGCACTTGTGAGTTAAATGCAAAATTAAGGAGCATTGATTTTTATATCTCTTTAACAAATTAATTCCTTCCTCTTTAGAGAAAAACAAATTGTTAAAATCGGCCACTTTTATTAAAGAGGACAAAATGCAAAGATAATGGGCTAAAAGTTTATCACGGAAGAAACTTGTTTAACAATTTTTCATCTCTCTTAACGGCAAAAACTAGTTAGGACAGGTTATTTTCCGTATCTGTTACATAAAGAGACAGACGTGCAGTAATTTTGACAATCTCGGCCAAAGACGGGGTTACCGGATTGATCAGGGTAGGATGCAATCTGGGGGTGTGGATGGGGTGGGGGGGGGGTTGGAAAAGGAGAGGTTGAAAAGTATAGTGTCACATGCGAGAAAGGTACTTTTGGATCTACCTGCGTGTCCTCGAGAGGCACTTTAAATCTCCTTCATATTCGAATTGGCGAGCTGGGGTCAGAGCTTAACTGATTAATAAACATGCCAGATACAACTGCACTCGGGATAAATTCAAGGTGAAGCTTAAATTTCAAGACCGCAATTGATAATTATAGAATAAAAATGGCGCATAAAGAAGACAACGATTAATTTTAACAATTTACGACA